AATGGATGGTATTGTCAACTGTAATTCATCAGACCTATTTTGTGGCTTAGAGATATAATAAAAGATGATCTTATATTGGGTGCTGTAGAATTATATTGGTGGAGCGTAGTTTGGGAAGAGATTTCTTACTACCTAAACACTTTAGTAGTCTGTAGTAACTTGCATCTGTGCCACTGCCAAATTCCACTAATGCTGTTAGGTAATGTTCTTTGGGGAATGGTTAAGAATTAATTTCATGTACACTATAAATTAATGTAAAGCTTTTTAATATTCGGATTATGTACTCTAATTAAATTGTGTTTATCTGAGAACATGATAAATTCTGCTATCAATAGGTGTTTTTTCCTTTCCAAATATAATGTTGGTTATCGGTCTGTCATTCATAGCACAGATTCAGTTGTCAGTGGGCCATGCAGAAATCACCACTACTAAATTACACAACTGGAACTCAAAGAGTTAAACAGGAAATACAAGACATATTGCAAGCTGCACAAAAATATTAGCTGCTCAAAGCATCTGAGTCTGTATAAGAGTTTACAAAGAGTTTCTAGCGAATGAATGAGGCAATGTGACTGACTGAAATGCTTTCTCCAGGGAAAATGCAATTAATATGCCTCTTTGTAATATTTTCACATCCATCAGGATGTATAATTGTGCTAGGACTTTAAAGACAATATTTGAGAAGTAGTTTTTGGTTTTGTCCTGAATTTTCATTAAATTTGAGTAAAGGAAGGGAATCTTTTGTTTGCTTTCTTTAAGGGGTCACTCCAGACACCTTAAGCACTTTAGCTTGCTGGAAAGCCTTGTGTTAAAGTGTGTTCTTTTTTTTTTTCATTTTAGAAAAAGAAGTGCAGATTTCAAAAGAAACTGACACTTTTACAAATTAACCTTGATACACCCCATGGCTTGTAAGCCGACAACAGGTCCTGTTACTTCCTGGTTTGGCTATCTTACTGCAGCTAAACTAAAAATGCCCAGAGCACCTCCCTTGCAAAGATTTCTCATTGAGCTGCAATGGGAAGTCTGTGATTGGACAGCCACAGAAAGTCTGGGTAGGATTAGAAAGGGAGAGTTTGCAAAGGCAGTATACAATAGAGCTGCAGGTTTTGCATGCTATTTTTAGATGTACTCACTACAAAATGCATAATTAAATGCATGCAATTTTTGTTTTGGGGTATATATCTACTGAAAAGTGAGTTTTATTTATTTTGTGTTTGGGTGGTGTCCTTTTAAGGGTTACTCCAACTCCTTTGTATCTTAATGTTACTTTATTTGATATAGTAGAGGCTTGTCCACCACTTCTTTATTGACAAACCCTGCAAAATAAAGGATAAGACTTCTAGGTAATCTAGCGTAGGGCGAAATTCTTCCAAAAAAATAAAATATGGTAAGTCCAGAGTCCAGAACCATATAAATAAAAATATCAAAAGTGGATTGTAAAGGCTACCCCAGTGGAGATCCTTTTTCCCTAGCAAGATGCTGTGCAGTAATGGAGTAGCCTTCTTTCTATCAGCTGGATCCAAGTAGAGAGAGAGAGGTAGAGCTCTTAAAAGAGCTAGTGATTAGCTGAGCAGGTTCCCTTTCAATAACGAGACAAAGCTACGTTTTGAAGGGTAAAGTAGAACTGATGTTTAATGACAGGTACTCTGCTTTTATGCAGTGCTCCCCTGCAAGGGAGACGCCCACAGCCAATTAGACATTACCCAATCATACAGTGGTTATATCCCCCAGATTCCCTCCCCTCTGCTTGGGAGATAATTGAGTTTCTTACTGTATCTCCTCAATTATCTCCAAGCTAAAACTTATACTTTTTATGCATTTTTATAACTTTCTGATTTTTTGTCACACAGCAATAAACTTCTATTTTTATAAACAACACAACTTTGGGAACAACATACTCAACATTCGTATCAATCCGTTCAGGGGCTCCAGAAATAAATAAAAAATCTCTTTGGACCGATCGCACGCCTGTTTGCAAGCCCAAAACAGTTCCACAGACTCAGGCTGTGCAGTCGGTCTATTTCTGCCCTGAAAAATGGCAAAGTCCCATCCAAAGGCGGCGTTCGAATAGTCGAGCGCACTTCGACTTCGGGCGAAGTGAAACCGGGGTTGTGTTACAGTGGTGTTTGATGGTCTATTTTACACCAGAGCGACTAAGTCCCATTCGAACGGGACTTAGTCTCCAGCCGCAGTGCCGAAGGGTAGGGGAAGGTACAGGCCAGCGGTGTTCGTTCCAATGTGTGGCCGATTTCCGTTCCAGGGAATTGATGGCACACACCACTGACCGCGTTCGACTGGATTAAAATGGCCTTTTGGTAAGAAAAGCCAGGTAAAAAAACAAAACAACGGGTGCGAGTCCTGACCGCCGGCGGGATCAGACGTGCTCTGTCTGAGCTCCAGCTCCAGGGTCTGAAAATCAGAGCTAGCTGGAGGCCAACCACGAACACTGACCCCCAGCCGATGGGGTACGAAGGGATACCGCCCAATCACTGACAGGAACCCGATAGGGGCCCGGAGCCTCCGGCCGGCGTCGAGCATCTGGACCCGGGGGGTGGGGGGGGTCATCCCGGTCCGCAAGGGTGCCTACCATCACACCGGGCCAGGCCTCGGCAGCAGCACTGGCACGCAATAGCCACCGGACAGCGCCCCACAGGAGAGCCACAAGACAGAGTGCAGCCAGGAGGAATCCCGGAAAATCATGGGACTCACTGTGGCTGAACTCCCTACAGTGGCCCACCTGTGGAATTGGGTGACATCCAGATAAAGTGACTCCTGCTAACACATGGCAAGATCATCACCAGTAGTGTAGTGACTTATGCTGTCCTCAGTCTTTGCATTACCTCACCCTAATGTTTTTTGGGACCCTGTGGTATTGATAGCAACATTTAGCAAGTGACTGTCTTACCTAATTAACCTAATCTCCTGATGGCCCAACATGTCTTCTAGCACTGTTTTTATTTCTGCTGTTCTATGACAAACGTTTAACTCCTCGTGTTCACTTAGTTCCTTGTGTCACATGTCTGGCTGGCAGGTTCAGGTACACATGTCCTTGACTATAATCTGTCTTACTCCTGTACCACACGTGATGTATACCAAGCTTAGACAACTCGCGCCTCCAATTCAGTGTGCCCACCAGCTAAATATGTCTGCCTAGCCTGTCCATTAACGTCGAAACAATGCACTGTGCCATTGCTAACCTAGACGCATGTTACCACACTACAACTACACTAGCAAAGTTATCATAGCAGTGTTAAATGTGGCTTACCCTACCTTATGCTAACATTTTTGCTGTTTAACCAATCCTGTTATACCTATATAAAAATGTGCAATCTCTCATGCCACTGTCAAACTTAAGTATATCTTCAAACACGATGTGGCGTATGTCGATAACGTGTAATTAACTGCACAACAAAAATAAAGAATTAAAAAAATAAACAAACATAAAAAACACAAAAAAACAGGTTTTTGTCAAATATTCTGTTATAAGTTGAACATCTGACATGTTTTTATATGATAAACAAATAAGCACAAGTAGCTTAGTAGATAATTGTTTACACAAGCAGTCTTTGTTTTAGGGTCAAGAATCCAGAAAACTCAAGACCAAGTGGAGATCCCAAGGTGCTGTATCTATTGTGGTTTCTGAGGTTGTGAAAATCTAATTCCTTTAAGAAGTCGACAAATAAAAGTATGACTAACAGAAAACCATGAAAACCTTGATAACCAAAACAGCCGACCTATAGTACAGTATGTCCTGCCTCAAAGACTGGTGAGGAAATGAAGAATGGCATTTAGAGATGCAGATAAGTGATCCAAAAACCATCCCATGCTCTAATGTGACCATGTCTGCCACACTCCATGGTATGAGCGTCTAGTTCCTGGTGCCCTGGAAAGCCATGTATTGTCCAGAGTCCCCGGAAATCAGCCAAGCTAAAATATGAAGGAGGCAGAATTAAGTAAATCGTGTGACTTCCTGTTAAGAAGTCAAATGTCTGATGGCAATTGTGGAAAATCAATCAACATTTCCAGGAGTCTTCGGAACCAAGGTTGAGATCTCCAGAAAGGTGTGACTAGAACAAATGTGCCCCTGTGACGAAGGTGGGTAAGGACCCCTGAGATGAGGTTCAGGGAATGCATAATGCTGTGCTGAAGACCAGTTCTTTAGAAATAGGTCTACTGCTAGAGCTGCTGAATCTGGTCTCCAACTGAAGAGAGATGAGAATCCAGCAGGGATGCAAAAAGATCAATCAAAAGGGTGAACAAACTCAGGAGTTAACATAACTTCCAATCTGCTGTTGAATTGGCTAGTTCTGAAATGTGTTCCACCACAATAGAGATATTGTGAAGAAGACAATAGTGCCAGAAGTCCCGAGCCAGAACTCCTAAGACTTATGATTTAGTTCCTTCTAGATGATAGAGAGATTATATCTGCCAAAACTTTATCCATCTTAAGAATTGAACATAATATGCTTTTGGGGGAAAGACTGGAAAAATTGTAGCAATCTGTGATCTTCTGCAATCAAAATCAGATAGGTGTCTTATAGATCCAACTTGACCATCCAGTCTGGTGGCAGCCTCTTGAAATGTGAATAGTGGACGAAGGCATTCAATGGTTTCAGGTTGATAATGGGACTTACTCTGCTGCCTTTCTTTGGACCAGGAAAATGCTGCTCAAGAATCTCTGCATTTGCCATGGGATTTCTTGTATAGCAATATTTGCAAGTAATTTGAGGATCTCATTGGAAGTAAGTCTCAATAGTTTTGTATCCCAGATCTTAAATGTATTTTTTTTTTTTACTTATACAATATTTTACTAGGAATATTTCAAGTATGTCCTGGGTCCACAATTTCATTGATACAATAGGGTACAATAAAATACAAAAACAATATTAATACATAATATATACAAAATTTAACATAGAACAGGTAGAAAATATATAATCAACCATGAAAGGTGCATTGTTTTTTGCAATATGTAGAGAGGGATCTCTTAAAGGCCTGGGGAAGATTTGAAAGTGTGCTGGAGGTTGTTCCATAATTGGGGTGCTCTGTAGGAAAGGTGGATCGAGTCGCTTTCTTTTTGTATTGAGGTAGACTAAAGTTTTGGTACTGGATCGGAGTTTATAGGAAGTGGGAGCAGCCGGGGAGAGAATTCTGCTCAGGTAGGGTGGGAGCTTCCCAGAAAAGCTCTTATGCACAAGGCTGGAAAGATGAAGGGTGCGTCTGGATTCCAGCGACAGCCAACTTAGTTTAGTTCTTTTAGCATGTCACATGGTGGGTCCTGTAAATACATTGTAGCACAAAGTGGCAGAACAAGTTATACAATGTATTAAGTTTATTAAGGTGGGTTTGTGGTGCAGGTGCATATACTACATCCCCATAATCAATGATTGGCATCAGCATTTGCTCTACAATCTTTCCTTTACTGTAGGGCTTAGGCAAGATTTGTTTCTGTACAGGGCACGTAGTTTTGGATAAACGTGGAAGCCAAAAGATAGATTGGGGTCTAACAACATACCCAAGTATTTAAAAGAGTGGACATAGGTCAGTGTGCTATTTGATTTTGTTTTGATGGATAGGTGGGAATTGTGTAATTTAGGTACTGTCCCAAAGATCATTGTGACAGTTTTGTCAGTGTTTAGGAAGAGTTTGTTTTTGTGATCCATTGGTGCTTGGTTAATTCCATACGTATAATTTACCAAAATTAGATAAACAATCCACACTCATAAGGATCTCAGAATAACCCACAGGTAGATCATGGAAAGTGCATACTTTATTGTAGAAAAAAAAAATTGTTGACATGCCATAAAAATATGTGCAGACCTCATAAATGACAGGCAATCCAAAATCTTCAAACACGTCAATTAATGCAGACTCTCTCCCTCACAAGAGTCCAAGGTTTAAAAAAAAAAACAAACAAAAAACAAACAAACAATACAAAAATACAAAAAAGGAAATACCTGCACCTGCCAGAAGGGTGGTGAAACATAAATATGAAAAAACACTTTCACTAACTCTCATGCTTGTCACATTTCACAACATAAGCATGAATCAGAAACCTCGGAATCCTGCTCCCCGTAGGGGTCCAAATATATGTGCACTTTTTGTTTTTCTGTATGATTTCTCTCACATTTTCTTTGCTGCTGAGGGATATAAAAGAAAGTGAAAGCATAAAAGAAGCCCCTGTGTTTTTAATAAATTTAAGATTATCCTCCAATCCCGAAAAATACTGAGATTGTAGTTTTGCAAACCTGAAACAAATTTGGCTACGGATGCTCTGTAAAATGCAGTTTGTTCAGTTTAAATGGAATTACCCATATCAAACTATTGCCATATTGAAGCACAATTGGTCAAAAAGGAATATTGTTGACTCACAAACAGCTGAACACAAGGAAAATTAATGGGAGAGCTTCATACTGTGATGGTATGCTCTTGCTGCAAATGGGTCCTGTGAGATGTCAAGGTTTATGAAATAGAACTTTTCATTCAACAAAAAAAGTAAGAACGTTGCAAAACTACTGAATAGCATTAGAGAGACACCTTCAGTCATTCACTCAGACAGACAGACATGCATACATACACATGCGGACAAATACTTTGAACCACACAAACCGATACAAACTAGATATATATTTTTGTACTCGCCAGTGTCTCTTTCACAGAAAAAATATATACATTGTTGGGTACCCCAACGGGTTTCTGATATTGTAAGAAATTCAGTTTACCTGTGGAACTATGTTTTTCATTGTAATAAACAATATTTAGAACTCTGCCCGGCCTGCCTGCTAAGGATTATGGTGGCTGAAGAGGCTGCTCGTTGAGGTCCTGCAAGACACTTCGAGCAGGTCCTGAGCTTTAAATCCACTGCAGCACTGGGACATGGTAAATATTGGGTCACGGTGATGGTTAAAGTTAGGGTTAGACCATTTTTACTTCCCATTTTGAGTAAAAAGCTGAGGGGGGGGGGGAGACCTTTTTACTTTTCACCACCACTGGCACGCCTTTGATATTGCTGCCCACTCCTCCTCCCACGAGGTCATCCAGCTAGCTCTAGAGCCTATGTTCCAATCTAATTTTCCTCATACAGGAGCATTGGGGACACACACGTATCCAACTTCTCCCAGAAAATTGCATTCAATAACCAAGCTTTACTCTGTCATTATAGAGTTTCTATGAGAGCTTCTATTGGCAGTCAGGTAGACAATATTTTATATTGCCACTGCAACCAGAGCAAGTGGTCTGGGTGACTTTGGTGATCCTTCAAGTACCTAACTGTAAATCTCAGTGTAACATTAGCTCCACTTACCTTGCAGGACCTCGCTGAGCAGACGCTTCAGACACCGTGATTCCATGGAGGCAGGTGGGGTGTAATTCCAATAATTACCAATTGCTGGGGAAAACAGTTCCATGGGGAAACAATGAATTACAAAACCTGCTCCACAAACTCCATGGTGCATCAGTAGTTGGAAGGGATATGATCTCACATTTACAAAAGGGGGGCCAGGTACTCCATGGCACACAATGATACCTGGTTAGAAGAAATATTCCTCTCCCCTTTAACAGAGCAGCATGGGCATAAAGCTCTCTTAGAATATCTTTGTCTAACTCCCTCATGGCATGCATGAGTGTTAATATTCAGAAAAAAAAAGAAAACAAAAATGGGTTTCGAAAAAAAAAAAATCAGTATGAATGACCTTTACTCTAGAAGAAAAGACTAAACATTAATATATCATGTATACACAGCTCTGAACATTTCTAATTGTAAAATATTGGGTTTTTTTTAAATCTCTAAATCGAATTGATCACTAATGTGTAAATTGTGATGACTTCGATCTGAAAGAGACAAAAAAAAAAAAATCTTCAAATCCACTAGCCTATATTGGCCTGAAATAAAAAAATTACTTTGCATTGCCAACAACTCACTTCAGTGAATAAACGTGTCAAAATACTTTTTGATTAAGAAACCATATTCTCTCTGTGGGAGGAGCAGTTATCGGATGGTGGTCTTTGGTCTTGCAGTGGCTTTTCACTTTTTTTCCTCCACATTTTTTTTTAGTCATTCACCTGATTTAGTTATTATTGGCATTTATATAGCGCCAACAAATTCCGCAGCACATTACAATATTATAAGAGGGTGAGATTTAACAATAAATGAGACAATTACAAAAACTTACAGGAACAATAGGATGAAGAGGACCCTGCTCAAAGCTTACAGTCTAGTTTTGAATTGTTTATATATGTATTTAGATTCCCATTCTGTATTGCTATGATGCTCTTGTACCTAAACCATAACATTTTCTACTTCTGCCTGTTGTGTATTTCTAGGCCTTCTTCATTGCGAGTTTGTTCTGTTATATTGAAAGCATGGGTACACTATGTGGTGATTTCTATGTCAAGGTTTATATATCTATTTATGCCTGTCTTTAAATAAAAAGAGTAGAAAAAAAAAAAAACCAGGCCACTTGCATACATAGCAGTTATAGCACACTTGCTCGCCATCCTCTGCTATCACTAAAGGCAGATTGAGGGTGGAGACATGTAAATGTTACAATTCTTCTCATCATCACATTTTTAGTTTAGTATTAGTTTAAGGTTCCATTATCTTACCAGCTACCAGCAGAGGGAGCAGGCAGTGCAACACATAATTATGCTGGATATAGATACATACATTGAGAAAACACACACATTGTGCTCAAGGACAAGTATTTTCATTAAGCTAAAACTGTTCAACCAGCACACATTTAACAGGTTAATAATGAACATTATAAGCAAGCCGAATGTCTATAGACAGCTCCCACATTATTGCAAAAGAAATGGTGTTTACTTATCTAAATAATCAAACAATAGCAACACAAGATGCTGCTGCATATATTATACAAACATAATAAAATACATGTAATCTATAAGGGCTGCCTGTACTCTAATAATCAAAGTGTTTCACTGAATAATAGCCCTTTACGGTAATCATTTACAATAATTACCAGTATAATGAGCAGCAGGTATAAATATGCACAGATAATGAGCATGCTGCAATAAGGAATGATACAGGAATAATTCCTTATTGCACAGGTTCATTATCAAAAACATAACCCAGCTAATCACTATGGAATACTGTATACTCAAACGGTTTTAAAAGACCTGTGAGATCATCATAGATTGGTTTGTGCCATTTGGTATCATTATTTAGCTCTGTAGGTTCTCTTTCATGTGCACAAACATTGATACAATAAAAATTAGTATTACCTGTGTAATGATGTATTGTATCTTCTGTATACAATAGTACAGCACACACCGTGCTCAGTTAAACCATTTCATAGGCTAGAAATGAACATGAATTTCAACCTTTTAATTACCACTGGTAATACATTTTCAAGCAAGAAACATCTAGTATTTAGCAGTACTTCTCAAATAATAATACTTACCCCAAAGCCTATCAGAAGTACCATGTAGTACACACACACATTATATAAAAAGAAATGTTTCAAAGCGCTCAATAAAACGTAAATTGGAGATACAACAAGGAAAACACAAATGCTATTCTAGGGCAAAGTGTTCTACGTTTTTAGACATGCAGTTGGTCATTGCTTCTGATTTAGCACCTAACACAGCCTGAGAATAACACTTTCGCCATAAAAGCAGCCCATGGAACCTAAAACCACAGAGTTTATCATATAGTTTATCATATAAATAGACACTAATCTCCCCTTTATTTTCGACAATGCAATAAGTCTATAATGTAGCCTAAAATATATATACAATATATCCTAATAGTGAACAATCGCAGTATAACAGCCATACACTGATAAGAGATAAATCTTATTTTCTCCCACACGTCTTGTGGTAATTTTCCAAACCAGTTAATTAGCCCCTGGCAGCATGACATGTCGCTAATTGTATGAGCTGCTAATTAGCTCTCCGACTTATTCTGAATCCTCCTCAGTAAATGTTACTCTGCCTCCTGCAAGGGAACATACAAGAAGGAATTAACACATTGTTTGCACCTTCTAATGCAGACAGTGGAGCTACTTTACATACAGAATTTTCACCTTGGTAATGTAAATATATTTTTTTAGCGGAGAGCAAGTCATCTTTTAATTCAGAAACACCTAATACAAGTGTTCAATTCTGAAACCAAACTTGTACCAAAGTCCTCCTTATTCTTCTCATGTGTATCTTGTTTGGAACATGTCCAGATGGTGGTCAGATACAGGTTCAGATACTATTTAACTAAAACACGGACTGTTATACACTATTTCCCTAATACATTATAGAAATAGAGCATTCTTAGAGGTCACTTAAAGGACACCCGCAGCACCACGACCACTACAGCCATTGAGCAAGTGTCTGAGTGGAGAGTCTTCACTTTTTGTCAGGCCACTTGAATAGTTTAACAACTGGGGAATCCTGGCACTCAAACTCTGAATTTCCTCTTAAAATTGCAAAGATGTCCAATGTGGACAGCAACAATAGGGTAAGAACTATGGGCTAAGTTAAGTGACTGGTGAGCCCCAGTTATTCTAAAAACCAATTCAGATGGTTTGACAAAAAACCAGAAGGCCTGCTCACAAATACAACTTCACCCACTGCATACATACCGCGGAAGTGACTGCACGTCACTCCTCCCAGCTAAAACACAGAGCCCGCGCGAGAGGAAGCAGAGTGAGTCAGAGAGGGAACTCTGACTCCCATCAACATGAGCCACCACTGGACCCCAGGGAAAGTCACCCTCCTGCACCTAAAAAGTAGGAAACAGGAGGGTGACAAATATGTGTATGTTTGTTTGTATGTATTTCTGTGTCTTTGTATGTATGTCGTGTGTGTCTGTCTGTATGTGTCTTTGTATGTATGTTGTGTGTGCGTGTCTGTTTGTATGTGTGCCTGTCTGTTTGTATGTATGTTTGCCGTGTGTCTGTCTGTATGTATGTATGTGTGCCTGTCTGTTTTTATGTGTGTGTGTGTGTGTCTGTCTGTATGTGTGTGTGTATGTCAGGGGGTGGTTAGAAGGATGGAGGGTGTGGTGCCCCATTGATCATTTTCGCACCATTGGTTATGTGTACGCCACTGCTTGCACCAAAACCACTACAATAAGTGGTAATGGCTAAGGTACTTACAGTGCACCTTTAGTTACACACACACACATACATTTTATATATATATATATATATATATATATATATATATATATAAATTATTAATAAAAAAATGCCTTTTATCCAGCACTGGGACAGTGTCCTTGCAGCAGCCTTAATGATCTCTGGTCAAATCAGATGCTTCTCAGAGTAGTACTTTGGACTTACCTCAGTAAATGTACTTCAAATTTGATGTTTTCATTCCAGTGCTTCTTAGAGATGCATTGATTCCAATGCTTCTCATGGTAAAGCAATAGCTGTATTTGGCATCACAGTCACCACTGAAAGTGATAAGGGATGCTCCAGTGCCCAAATACAAAAAATACCACCATTTGGTAAGTACACCCAAATATGCATGCATTTTATTATGCAAATTTTCATTGGAGATTTATCTAAAAAGGGCTTGCAAAACCTGCAGATCTTTTGCCTGAAGCCTTTGCAGACCCTCCCCTTTACCCCAGCTCAGACTGTATGTCCAATCACAGACTTTCTAATGCACCTCAATAAAAAGTCTCTACAAGTCTACTGCCAGTGTCCTAAATTTAGCACCATTGAGCTAAGCAATCAGTAATAGGACAGGTTGTCTGCATGAAAGCCAGGTGGGCTTAACCAAGCTAATTTATGAAAATGCAAATCACTATTAAATTTAGTTTTAAAAAAAAAGAACAATGTGCTTTAGGGGTCCCGAGTATCCCTTTAAAGAGAGATAGTGCCACTATTAGCTGTCATACTCACAGTCAATATGGATATGTTCTTCAACAGTGCTAAACGCCATAATTTCTAAGAAACTAATTTTTTTTAGGGTCTATGCACTAAGTGGAACAGCCTCTTTCCTGGCTTTTTAAAATGTGCTTTACATATCTCTAATTTAACAAATATGCATTTGTAAAGTGTGAAAAATAAAACTAAATGTAAAAAACACAAAACCTCTTTCAGGAATATTTACTAAAAATGAGAATTAATTTTACATTTCAAATTTAAGACCAGAATAGCCAAACAAAGCATATTCGGCCTAGAGAATTTTGCGTTCGGCTATTTGGACCTAAAATTTAAAATTCTTACTTTAGAGAATAAACCTGCCAATCTTGCAGCTGGGCTCCTCCATCTTAGCTACTGGTCAGTCATAGTTTTAAAGCGCAACAGTACATATATAAACAGTACTTTCCCACAGAGTACATGAACCTAGCTCCGTCTCCAGCCAGTATCACAATATAAAAACAAAAAAAGTGTTCCAGCATGTACTTAGGACACTTAACCCCTTAAGGACACATGACATGTGTGACATGTCATGATTCCATTTTATTCCAGAAGGTTGGTCCTTAAGGGGTTAAAGGAGCAGTTTTGCATTCCTAAAGCTCTACTGTCCCTCTGCCACTCCATCTCCCCCCCCCCCATGTTAAAAGGGTTTAAAAACACTTTGAATACTTATTTTAGTTCCAGAGCCAGGGGCCCTCAACACAGTCTGATTCTCTTAAACCAGCGCTGTCATGCCGATTGAGGACCTAATGCGCATGCACAGCGAATGCCAAGTTCACATTAGAACTTCCTTGCAGGAAAGCATTGTGGATAAGTGTGAGGACTTATGTTGTTGTTCCGCTGTGTTAAACTCAGAGACAGACACTACAGGCAGTTTTAACCCTGCAATATTTTACATTGCAGGGTTAAGGGGACAAGGACATTGCACTCAGACCACTTCAATAAATAAAGTGGTCTTGATGCATATGGTGGCCATTTGTACACCTGGATTGCCAGGTGTACAAAGCAAAACATGAAAAAAAAAAAACTGTAGTTAGAAATCTGCTTTGTACAGTTAGACCCTAAAAAAAGGGACACCGGATTACCAACCATGTGCTGTAATGCTCTTTATTTTTATTTTTTTTAACATAGCTATAATATCCCGTCTATACATCTCTCAATCAACAGAGAAAGCATACCGATAAGAGGCATTATGAAACAATGATTTCATTTCTCCTATTATTGCAATATGTGCCCTGGCTGAGACTTTACTAAACTAGACTGTAATGTAATTTGCCATGGTTGAACTTTAGTCTTTTCAACCTAGACTACTATGTAAACGCGTTAATATACATTTAAAAAGAAAAATGGATTATCTCATGAATACATGTTAGACGATTCTCAGGGTTTTATTTAATGGTGTAATTTCCAGATAAGTGAATGTTTCCCTTTATTGCCATTAAGAATGTCATCCATCCCTGCTTGTAAATTTACATATACTCACCTATATTATACAAGAAGTATTGAAAAAGAAACAGCAGCAAAAAAAAAAAAAAAAAAAGAATTAAATTTCAAAGTTTACATTTTTTATTATCCTTAATGGGTACAGCACAGAAATAATTATAAAATTAGGAAGAAACATTACTGTAACATTGCGTAAGAATTATTGGCAAATATACAGTTTAACTTTTAAGTGAAATTATTCGATTTTTGCTCGTTTTAAGTAACCGGTTTAACATTAGATTAGATTTTGGCTTTAAAGTCTGTGCAGTGAGATACTGAAACATTATGGACAGACTTATAGAAGCAAACTGTAATGCTAAAATCCTAGTGAACTACGTACATACAAAAAATGTTCCATACAGTATAACCAGATTACCCAAATCCCTCCCTAGAAATCATTTTATCACCCAGGATTCATCTTCAGTTAGCAGCTAACCCACATTTTAATTTGCAGGTAGCAAATGTTCTACAAAACAAAATTAGGTTTTGACCCTGGCCATTTTAGAAGCAAAATTTTGCAAAGCTCTGAAGAATGGTTGCTGTAGCTGCACAAAAGAATTACCGAAATATTGCACCTAGTCTCCCTTTATGAAGTTTAAATTAAAATGTTTCATGTGTACTATTGGACAATGAAATTATATGGTTGTTGGGCGATAGGGGTTCATTTAAAAAAAAAGAAAAAAAAGTCACTAGAACACCTTTTCTTTAGACATGTAAAATTCCACTACAACACAAAAAGTAAACATTCCCCATCATGGACCATAGCCACATTTACATTCATGTCCCAGTGGCGTATTATCAATACCAATATAGTCCAAATTAAGTTTCTGGTTACAATCCTATTATGGAATTTAAACAATAAAAGAAAACATAAAACAATAAATACTCCACCTTAACATTCCTATAACTGTGGCACTTGCAAAAACAGGGACTGTTTTTGGCAGATCTCTAACAGGAATAGTACTGGCCAATCAAGAGCCTCTAATTATGTTTTTTTTTTCTTAGTGTTTCCTTGTCCCATAATCTCTTGTCCAGCAGGGTTTTATGGGATAGGTTTATGGTCCTGCTGCAATTCCACGCATCACAGTGGATGAGTAAAATTGCTCAATAAGCAGATAGCAGGCATGCCATGGCTACTATCCACCTATTTACAGTCTGGTTTATAGCTTTGCAAATCATGCTGTAAGCAGAGATCTGCCAAATACGCATGCATTTTGCCACAGCTCGAGGCAAGGAAGGAAATGTCTGTCCTAGTTGTACATGCAGTAGGCTTGCTGTATGCACAAGTTGGATTCATCTCGAACGGCAAAGAGTGAAGTAAAAATGACTGCTTTGGTATCTAAGTGCCAGGAGGTGTCGCTTATAGCTGCAGCATATCACTGCATATATAAAGCCTTCTCAACAGGGAGACTGGGTAAAGTACACCCTCTGCATTAATGCAAAGTTGTTATGGTGCCCAGTGTGATCCTTTAATCCAGCAATCAGCCTTTTCAGCAGATACATCATAGCCTTGCTAGAAAATGTTCAATAAAAATTATTTTTACTAAATATGGGTTGAATGCAAAGCTGGAAGTTAAGACGATGGGGTTTGAGAGACTAAATTCCTATTAAAACTATTTACATGCATCTGGTGCTAGATAGGAGTTTTTGTTTTAAATTTTGTTCATCTCCCTCACACGTACCATGATGATCTGGTGCATTGGTAGAAGCAAAGGAA